TGCTGTGCTCTCGCTCCCCCCTTTAGTTCTCACCCTGGAACTGGCAGCAGAGGAGGAACAGCCTCCCAAAAAAGGGGGCATGACTCAGGGTAAGTCAGCCCTGCACAGGGGGATGCAGAGACACTTCAGAGACACTTGAGCTAAGAACTACCAGGTAGTTGACAAAAAGTCAAGCCATGACAGCAGACTTCAATGTGGGCAAATTTCTTCTGCCTTCCCGGAGGACCAGATTAATGCTTATGGATATTAACTCTTCCATGGCTTGCTGTTCTTCCCTAGCTCCCAGCAGGATACAGTAAATATCACAATGCAGCTGCACAACAAAGGAAAACAGAATACATACAATGTATTCCCACCCTCAGTGTGGAGACTGCTGCTTGTTTAAGGCATACATTTTCTTCTACCTTAATAAACATTCTCCTGCCAGAGCAATTCCCCTTATACTACACATAAAATAAACCAATATTACTAAGTTCCACTGCTTAAAATATCAGGTTGGCCAGACTCTTTCCAAGGGTATAGACTGACCTGTGAAAAAGATTTTAATGGAAAATCAGAGCCATAAGACCAGCTATCTGAAAAGAATTCCACTTCCAGCTGGAAACTTGCATAGCTCTTGGGCGTGGAGACTGCATGACCAGAATTTCATGTGTGTGCTGTTTTTGACTGGGGTAGAGTAAATTTCCTTCACATTATCTATCATGGGGCAGTGTTTGGATTCGTGATGAAAAACGGGGTTAATAATCCAGAGATGTTTTCATTACTACTGATCTATGCTTGCACAGTCGAGGCTTTTCCTGCTTCTCATACCACCCCACTAAGGGAAGAGACTGTGGGTGCACAACAAGCTGGGAGAGGACACAGCTGGGACAGGTGATCTAACTGCCCAAAGAGACATTCCATATGGCATCATGCTCAGAATAGGGGGCTGAAGGTAGTAGGAAGTGGAGACATTCAGAGTGACGGCATTTTTGTTCTGAAGTAACCATTACATGTGATGGAGCCCTGCTTTCCTGGGAATGGCAGAATACTTGTCAGCCCAGGGGAAACAGTGAATTAATTCCTTGTTTTTCTTTACTATTAAACTGTCATTATCTCAGCTCCTGTTTTTTCCCACTTTTACCCTTCCAGTTCTCTCCTTGACCCCACCAGGAGGTAGTGATCATGCAGCTGTGTGGGGCTGAGTTTCCAGCTGGGGTTAAACCACAGCAGCCCTCCTTGGCATCCAATGCAGGGCTCAAAGGGGTCGAGAGAGCAACAGCTTTGATTGGAATGCGTTAGATGGAATTCACAGCCGTTATTGCTGTTTGGCTGCTTTGGGCAGACTCCTGTGCTTGCCCTGGGCTTGATGCCTTACAGTACATTAGTGTAGTGCTCATCTGTGGCTGCTTTTTATTTTTCCTGCTGCTGATCCCCTCACTCTGCTGTGCTGGGGACATTTTGAGGACAGCAATGGTGATGCACAGGGACTGGCAGATGGTCGGGGCATTGCTGCTGTTTCTGTGCTGCTGTACTGGACACACTGGAACTGCAGTGTGAGCTTGAGTCAAAGGGACTGTGACCAGCAGGGGAGTCCACATGGGAGCAGGACATCCTGAGGCTTCTCTGGCCATGAATAAGTCCATACCAAAGCAGGTACATCTGGAAGTGCCCATGGCCATGGCTGTGTCTGTGCCACAGCAGGGGCACCCTGCAGGCTTCAGGGCCCAAAGCCAAGTCCAGCTGCAGCAGGTACAGCTTGAAGCACCAGGGGCTGTTCATAAGGCCGTGCTGGAGTACCTGAAATCGTGTGGCCATGGATAAATCCACAGCAGGACAGGAACACCCTGCAGGGACTGCAGCCAGGAGCAAGGCTCTGTTGGGCAGGTTTGCTTTCTGAGGGGCAGTGGCTGTAGGTGAGGCCACACTGAAGCAGGTCTGTGTCCAAAGGCACCGTGGCCCATGGACAGGGCTGTGCTGGAACAGCTGCCCCTCAGAGCCACTGTGGCTGTGGATAAATCCACGCAGCAGCAGGTGTGGCCCTGAAGAGACTGCCTCATAGACATGGCTCTGCTTGGAGCAGGTACAACCCTAAGAGACTGCAATCTATGGTAAATCCAAGCTGGAATAAGGGCAGTGTAAACCTGGTAAGGGGTGGGTAAGAGATGGTAATAGAAATACCTTTGAATTGTTGTAACCCATGATTTGAATTGCTTCTTATAGGAATTACTGTAACAAGAACCACCTAAACCTATGGAGGAGCAGCCTTACAAGAAACAGAGAAACGGCATAAAGAGTCCCAACTGAGCTGGCTTTAGTGCCCAATAACCATGAAACAAACAACCTCTCCTTCTCTGAGTATCTCCACAACATGTAGCCCAAAGTCATGGACTAAATGGACTCAATGGACATGTGGTGGACATCTTACGAACACTTTGCAGTGACTGACAGACTAAGGGAATAATATCTGTGTATTATACCAAAGGACAGGAAGTGGTGGTTGATGCTGTATTGGATAGCATGGGACATAAACAGTATGGGATAAAGAAGAAATCCTCTATTATCAACATAGTTTTCAGCACAAACCCAAAACATAGTCCTATATACTAGCTACTATGTCCAAAATTAACACTATCTCAAACAAAACCAGCACAGTGTGCCTGCTGAAGCTCAATAGTTTTAACTTGGAAAAAAAAAAGTCACACCCTAAACTATCAAACAATCATTTAGTTTCCTGAAATAAAGGAAGTGGCTCAGAAGTGGGTGAAAGATTTTGAAAGCTGTCAAATTGCTAATACTTTTGTGGAGGAGGGAAGGAACTTGAAATAATGATCTAATGGAAACAGTGCTTGTTCTGCAAGCATTTCTTTTTTTCTAAAGGGAAGCAAAGGTGTTTTTCTGACTTTTTTGGCTTGGGTTAGGAGTTTTTGGGGGAGAGCTTTGGGCATTGATTGGTTTTTCTGGGTGTTTGATTACCACTACACATCTCTTTCTTATCAGAAAAATTAGTTGGATACATGCTTTTTATTTGAGGGATTTACACCGTGAAAAGGCTCTATCTTCTTCTATTTTGTTTGGTTTAATGTAGTTTGATGCTCTTAAAAGTGGCTTGGTGATTACAGGAAATAAGTGATGTTCTATATAATGTCTGAGCTTATGGAGGAAGTAAGACAACCTTAAAACTTCTCTTGCTAAGTTTTCAAAACCACTAAGTACAACAGGCTCTTGGAAAATAATTTTAGTAATAACAAAAGAAGTCCCAATGCCCACCCAACACTTACAATCAAGTGCCTGAATAGTGATTGCTATAAAACCAAAGCCTGCACCACCCTTTCAAAACGCTGCTCCTCCATTAACAAACCCCTCCCTGCGAGACTGCCCAGCGTCCCTTGGCCACAAGGCAGAGCAATCTGAACAGCAAATATGAACTATAATGATTCTGTCACCCTGACAGGAGAAGCAATCTCTGTGCCAAACTACTTCATAAAAACAAGGTCTATGATGTTGTGTACTTGATACTACAGCATGAGATTTAATTAAGTGTAGTAGAGAGGAGTTAAAATATTTCTCTGAGGCTCTTCAGTTCAGTAAATGTAGAGAGGAATTGGCTCAAGTCAGACCACTGTGTATGAACAGAGAAAAATAACTATTACTTGAAATAAAATGCTACTACCCATTTACCTGTCTTCCAGCCCTCTCTGTCTACTAACATGTTGACTGACTGGAGGTGGCTGAGAGAGCAGACAGTAATCTGACTTTTCTGGAGAAAATGTAGCAGTGGGAAGTCTCAGAAGGACTTACAAAATGGAAAGTAGGACAGCAGGAAAAAAAAAAAAAGTATAGGAAAAGCAAGAGATTTTGTTCTTTTTCTCTACAGTGCAGCATTCACTTGTTTTCTTATAATCTCCAGCAGCTATCAACCAGATTTATGCAGTGCTGTCTCTGTTCAGAGACTTTGAGGGACAAGAGAGCTAATGCTCAGGCTTCAAATGCTCTTCTTAGCCGTTATCAACTAAAGGCAGATAATTTTGTTGCTTACATCAGTATAAACCTGAAGTTACTACAGTGACATGAGGGTAGAAGCATGAATAAATTCAATGAAAAGGAAAACAGATTTCAGCCCTGCATATTTCAGAAAAATATTTCAAACTGCCATTTCAGAAAAAATACTTCAAGCCACTTTGGGTCTGGCATCAACAATTCCAAACGACAATGCTAGCTAAACTGATGGAATATGCATATACATAAAACGTTGCATTTTCTTCAGAAGAAAATGTTTTCTTGAACATGGATTCTTATTTTGAGTTTATACTAAGTATTACCTCAAGACTGATTGCTTATCTTGCTACTCTCTTTATCTGTAACATCTAACATGTTTTGCAAGATCCTCCTCTTGGGCTCTATCTTTCTCTCAAAAAGTCAAGCAACAAATTCACCTGCAGTGGAGTAATTACATATTCCAAAGACTATTTACAGAGCAGTTTTTAAAATAAATAATGTCTATATTGCAAAATAAATAATTTACCAATAGTAGAGATTAATTTACAACCTTTAGAATTTGTTACTAACCCCTCTGCAGTAGAAAAATCAAAACTTGAGGAACTGTAAGCAGATTCTGTGATCAGGGAGTAGCTAACATTGACGAAAAGATTTTTTCTTGAAGGATTTAAACACAGAAAAACAGTATTACATCATGAGATGAAGCTGAACAGAAAAACTACGTAGAACTGGTTCACATAAGAGAACTAAATGTATTCTTTTTCAAATTCAGCTACAAATGTGGTTGTTTTTTCCAAATGGTTCATATATCTCTCACATGGGACCACGCAGAAGACATTTTAACCTAGTACATGATGCATCAATCTTCCTGACCTAGGTTCTTACACCATTGCATACAATTGTATTCTAATTTCTGAACCAAGATGGTATTTCTCCACTTTGCAAAGCTTTTCATTGGTTTTACATCTACAGAGGATGTTGAGGGATCAAAATGAGAGAAAGAAATATCAGTTGCGACCTACCTTTGAGAAAAGCATCCTGTCCCAGAAATGCAACACCAAATGCTAAGAGTTTAAGCCACAAAAACATGGTTATTTCTGGAAATCAGGCGTATCCTTATGAAACTGCATGTGTCTCTCTCTGGAAAGCAAAATAAATGTTATCTGTCTGCAAAAGAACTTCTTCACAAATTTTGAACCCAGAAGGAGACTAACTAGGCACATACATTGCACTGCCTGCTTATCTGTGAGAGAGTTGCTTCCTCTGTTACCCTAACTAACCACCCGCAAACTCGCAATGCACTGTAGTGATGTCAGAGACAATTACTTCTTAAAAAAAACTTCTTTCAGCTTCCAGGAAGTCAAAGAGGTTCTTCTTTTCTTTTCAAAAGGGTCCCTGCAGTTATACTTAGCTTCCTTAATTCAACTAAAGTAGATATTTTTCAGCTATTTCTTCCTTTGTACTTAGGAGTTAGACAAGACTGGATTTAGCAAAGTAATTTTTTTCTCTCCATGTGCACTTTTTCTGCACACATTCACTGATTCCCATATATGTTATATATGTTTCTTGAGATTTCTGTTGAGAGAAAGAGAAACTCCAACCACAAGTCACCAAAACACTTGTTCTGACAACAAGGCCTCCATAAAAATGCATCCTCAGGTGAAGTAACTGATGATTGAATTAAAACCCTTTAAATATGGGGTTGAACTAGATGATCTATAGTGGTACCTTCTAACCCTAACTATTTCGTGATTCTGTGGGATATATTTCTGAATCTTTCTACAAGGATTTCTTTCTGGATATGACAGTAATACACAACAAATGGATAGAGGCAGTCTAATTCTGTTTTCTGTAATGTTAAGAATTGAAGAACTCAATACAATTCTTTACCATGATAGTGCAGGAGGACTGTTGTCACTTTCATAGACTTGATACAAGGTACAGCAAAGACATTTTCCCTCACTGCATGCACTGAGGCAGTTCTCAACAACTTGGTAACAAATGTCCCTTACATAGTAGACTACAAGGGGAAGAAATGCTTGATTGCTTCTTTTATTGAAGATCTCCAAGGTTCTAGAAGAACTAGCAGAACCCTGTTCATAGACAAATAAAGAAGGGAAGAGAATACTTTTGTGCTGCCTATTCATAAGTGCTTCAGAGACTTCCTAAGCATAACACAGGGAAAAGTTGCACAAATTCACATAATAATTCACAAATTACATGACTGAATCAAACTCATAATATTAAATGCATCTTCTTCAATTTTGAGTCAACTCTTATAACACGGGCCAAAATCTTAGCTTACACTGAGCAGTATGTCTCCATACAAAATGGCTGTAAAAATAATTATATTGTAAAAGTGTTCAGAACAAAACTGATCCAATGATATTGTTCTGACACTCCAGAGACTCCAATTTTGATAACTTCATCGTCCTGGAGCTGTCACAAATCAAATTTCTACTATAGCCATACATTACCTGCAGCACTGACATCTTAGTCCCTTTTACCCTAGGCAAAAGCAGGATACCAGCCTGGCTGACGTGTGCCATTTGATGAGCAGAGTGCATGACATCCTGTGAAGAATCTCTCATAAAAGTTCTCAAAAAAAACAGGCTCCATTCCCACCTGACCTTCCCCAGTAGTTTTACACAATCTCAACTCCACTTCTCAAGCTGCAACTCCAAGACAAATTCCTGCAGAGTGGATCTTTTCTGGCTGCGTGATATTTACAGAGCTTCCACAGCACTGAAATATTGCAGCATACCCTATCTATTATTTAGTGAGAACATCACACACTCCAGTGATCCCACCATTCTAGGTATACTGCCAACCATAAATGATCAGCTGTTAAAATCAAAATTAATGACTAAAGATACAAATTTACACAAGAAGGACACGGAACTGTTGGAGGAAGTCCAGAGGAGGGTCACAAAGTTGATAAGAGGATTGGAGCACCTTCCCTATGAAAACAGGTTGGGAAAGTTGGGGATGTTCAGCCTGCAGAAGGTTGTGTGGAGACCTCATCTGAGGGAAGCCAAAGGACTCTTCATCAAGAGCTGCAGTGGCAGGACAAGGAGTAACAGGTACAAGTTGAAAGAAAAGAAATTTAGATTAGATATTACGAAGAAATTCTTTACTGTGAGGGTGGTGACTGGAACAGGTTGTCCATGGAGGCTGTGGCAGTGTTCAAGGCCAGGCTGGAGAAGGCCTTGGGCAACCTGGTCCAGTGGGAGATGTCCCTGTGCACTAAAGGGGAGTTGGGACTGCATGATCTTCAAGGGCCTTTCCAGCCCTTAACATTCCATGATTCTGTTAGAACTCATGAAGTCTTTTTCCAAACATAACCTGCAGCCTCTTTTCCCAAGGTAAAACCCAAAACTTTCCTTCTGGGGGAATGGGAGAATTAATTTATTCTACTTGTACGTTAAACAACAGACTCTTAAAATAAATCCTTTCTCAGGACAGAGCCTGAATTTTTAATTGGCTAACACAATTACGTCTGTGTGTAACTAGAGAAGCATGCTTCCCCTGTGCTGGAAGAATCAAAGTGAGAACCATCTATTTCCGTTAATAAGGATTTCTAAAATGACATTAAAAATGTGCAGCTGTGAAAGTTACCCATCTCTTTTTCTTTTGTAAGCTATAAAAAGAGCCACAATACTTCCAAAAAACCACCCAAACAGTATAAGATGCAAATCTTTCCTTGTCTGATTCACCTCTCTTGAAATACATCAGATTTGTTGAATTATCATAAATATGTCCTAATGCTTAATGCTGTTTTGTGTTAATGTGTTTACAAAATCTAGTATGAATTTGTTTTCTCAAGAAATGCATTCTCAAGAACTCACCTGTATTTTCCTTTTGTTCAGAGGCCTTGAAAGAATAAATTACAAAGCATGTAACTAAATAAAAAATAAATTCTCTACATACTCCATACAAAATTTGGATTTAAAATAATGTAGACTTAGTTTGGCATAATTTCCCTTGCATTAAAGTCATCTCACATGACTCAGCTCAGTCACAGTGATACTCAGCACACTGCACATCAGAATTAAGCAGTTCTTCCACAGAAACAGAATTCACACACTTTTGCAAACACTAAGGGACAAAGGATAAATTTATCCCAAGGGCAACTCTGTTTAAATCAAGGGGGTTCCCTGCATTATGCATTTTATTCAGTAAAATTAATTTGACAGTGTAACTGTGAAACATTGTTCATGCTAGAGAATATAAGAGTCTCAATATTTCACTGAACATTTGCTAAGGAATCTATTTTTTACATACTTTTTCAGGCTTGTTTTCAATTGCCAAGAACTATTTCCCTGAAGAAAGAAAACATTTCTACTTAATGTGTCATATTGGATCAAATTATTTTAAGGTCAAGAGTAAACAATAGAGCTCTTTGTGCAAGCATACTGCTCTGCTGCTATCAACCCTCAGGCAATGATGATTTGACATCTCCACTTCATATGTTGTGTGCATGATCTGTGCTGTACCTGCTCAGGACAGAGAATGTATTCTGGTATCCCTCAGGCACTCTTCACAATCTGGCCCAAAATGAGCAGTAAGCCTACGAGAAGCTCTTGGAAGTGCCAGGCACCTGTTTCTTGCTTACACATAAAATCAATCCAGGATAACTGTGGGCTCAGTTCTTGTGAAATGAATGTTCTTGAATAGCTCCTTTTAACATGCCCACTTAAACAGTGTCAGCATACCCATAAGCCCTGGGATTTGTTCGATTTGTGCTGAACATCTGCTCCTTGAATGAGTGCTGGATGCTGAGAACAGCTCAGGATTTAGCTTTTTATAAGGTGTTCAAATATTGCACAGTGAATGAGATCATTTTACATTATAAAACATCAAATAAACATTCTTACCCATAGCCTCTTTTCTTTGTATCCTTCCATCATTTACTTTGAAAGGGAAAGTGAAAAGGAGGGATGACAATTAATTGAATATTTGCTTCACCTGGACCACTTCTTGAACTCTCATTCAGAAGAGCTCTTCAACGGTGGCAGATTTTTCCTCCTCTTAGTCGGATTCGGCTTTTTCCCCCAGTTTCATTTCCCAGTACCAACTTCTTGGATTCTATAGGCACTCATATGACTGTCTCAACAAATGAAGAACCACAATTTTAAAGGGCAGTGAGCTGAATGACAGGCAGGGCATTGTTTTGAACAATCAGGCTGAAACTCAGGAATACCACCCTAGCTGGAGGTACTAAACAATCTCCCTCTGTGCAAGGTCTCCTCTATCACCTTCACCTTCACCCTGCCTTCAGCTAAACTGGTTACTTACTTGCTGATGGCCTGGTACTAGCTAATCTGTACCTGCTGGTTAATTTTCCCAAATTATATGCAAAATTACACTCTATTACATAACACTCTGAAGTAAATGCTGTCTTACCTACACCATAAAGTCACAGGTGTGACATGTTTGCAGAAGACCTGACAGAACACGAGTCAAAGGAATAGTAGCACCTGTCAATACAAAAGAGCCCATACAGAAAAAGAAGAGAATGTTTACAACCAGTCTTTTCCAAAGTCTTTGCATTCTGGTTTCATTGCAGATCATTGGACATTCCCGTATCTCTTGAACATTGCTTCTTGTGTGTTCTGTACCAAATATAAAGAAAAAACCTGTCTGTTTATTCTGAAGCTAACACACAGGGTGGGCTTTTCCTTTTTTTCAATCTTTTCTTAATGCTCAACTTTAGCTGAAGCTAAAGCTACCCAGGACCAGGGTCAGGGTGAGCTACTGAACCCATGTTTCAGGATATCTTCCTACAACATGCTACTTCTGAGCTAACTGCTCTCTAGTCTCTGTTGTAAAGGAGCAGACCAACTTGCCTTCTGTGAGTTCTCTGTCCCTTTTTCTGTTCTTCCCAAGCAGATATCTTCTGTGATATTAACTTCTGTATTCTTTGCTTCTACCACTGTATCTTGCTTCCACCCATCTGGGATGTCAGATTTACTGTCATACCCTATTAGCTGTGGTCTGCAAGTTGTCCTGGTGTTTCACTATCTGTCAGATGACAGTGCTTATAGCCAAGAGTATTTGTGTGCATTTTCCCAATAAAGCACAGAATTCCTCTACAGCAAATGTTTTTCTAACATCCCAACTATGATTATGTTTTGGATGGACATGCAGTCCCACAGCTGATTGTAGTCATTATTGTATAGAAGCACAAAATGCCTTTGAGCAAGGTATTTATAAGTATAAACCACAAATCTTTACCTAGAAGGCTGGTCTGCTCACAGCGATGCTGTCGGTCATCTTCTGATAGCCCATCTCCTG